GAGAGACCGACTGGTCCAAGTATTACAGGAACCTAGAAACAACAGATGGTGTTGCTTGTACCTGTCCGTTGCATGAACAAATTCGCCGATTGAATTGTGATTCTTGTTTTACATTGTGACTTTTGACTTGTCGTGACTGGCTGGCTGGGTTAACAACGCTGAATTGATTACATAACAGTAAGAAAGGTATTTATGTTTGCAACATATCAATAAGCTGGGTCCGCTGTTCATTAGAGAAGGTGATGGTGTATAGGATTTTCGGTCGACATATGTCGCCGTCCTTTGCACAGTTATAACACAACATAGGCAGCCAGGAGAATGCATTAGTAGGTGTCGTTTCATGTCGAACTGTACTAACTGATCGGGCTCACGCCGCTGTGATACGAGTATCGATATAGGATATGGTGTAGGAGTTCAAACTTTCGATTTCTCTGTTCGCTTCCTCCATACGTTTCCATTCTCGTGGACTCCTGCTGTTCAAGAGGCTAATACGGCTACTAACGGCTACTGTAACAGGATGATTTTCATTTAGCTGTGGTTAGATAGAATGAAGACGTAGAATTTTCGGCAAATCAATAGTCACAAGCAATATTCTTCCTTAAACGCTGTCGATGAACTCCTCCACTATGGCGAGCGATTCTTCGAATAATCGATTAACTATGGGAAAGGGGGTAATGAACTGGACGTCATACTATCCAATAGATTGCTGTGAACCTCCTAAATCTTATCAGTGAAATGAACTATCTTCCACGAAAGACATACCAAGTACCCTGGTTTGGTCAGTATTTTATGGCTGTATGAAGGCGAATGTAAATATACAGAGTGGGTTCTAAAATTGGAAAGTATTATTGTTAAATACCATTATATTTCGCGTTAAGCAACTGTTATCCTCATAAACATGAAGTAATAAAGTTTAGGATGTGAGTTAACTGCTTGGACTTATACTTCGGCCTTAAAACTTTTAAGTAAAACCTTTTTCAAATAGCGAGTTCAATCTACACAGTGAAAGAACGTCTATTATGAAATGAATGACGTCCATCAAGATGAAGAAATCTAGTGGGCTATGATCCGGTTTGCAGTCCAATTAGCGGTCTAGAAGATGACTGTGCCGCCGTACTACATTGCTATGTATCGTCGCCGCTATAGAAACGAACCAGAGCAGGAAATAATCTAATTACTTGGTAAAAAGCGTGAAACGCAAAACATAAAGCTTCGGCGTCCATCAATTCCTTGAGCATATCCCATAAATTTGACTCCACTGAGCATTGTGAAGCTGGTCAAATTCATACTTGACCTTAACAGTGATTTTCAACAAGCGTATTGATCTATGAGGCCAGTGTTTTATCCTGCCAAATACGCATGACATAAATTAACCTTCACGGGAGGTAAAGAACTCTTGGTTTGCTCGAACGCAGGATCGAGCCAACAGCCTCATGGATATTGAAGGCACCTCTGTCTACTCTGCCTCCATAACGAAACCGTTCTAGGCAATATATTTAACGCCGAGCACGGATGTCAACCACATGTTTCACGACTCTGTGACTGGGGTTGTGCCATTGTCTAGTGTTGTCAAGACAGAATAGTACACGAATGATTGAGAGTAATGTACACAAATCATTCGGTCAACAGTGTGTGCAGTAGTTGAGTCTGCACGGATAGTAGAAGTAGTAGAAGTGGATATGGGTATAGAAGGGGTGACCATGACGTCGCTACAACAATGAAGAATACTTGGGGCGGAGAAACACACCGGCCGATCGCCGTTGTGACTCAGTCAGCACCGAGTCATTGCACAATGATGGCCACACTGTCCTGACTCCGGTCTCCATGACGGAAAAGCCCTTGAAGCTGGTCGTCATCGGCGACACCTATGTGGGAAAAACCACGTAAGTTCTCGTTTCATTTAATGTGACACGAATTTCAAATGAATTCTTTTCAATTGAACTTTGATTTTATTACTCTGTCTGTCTCTCTTTCTCTCACCCATAAGCGTTTTTGTCTTTCCTTTTCTTAAATTCTGCGGAATTAATAGCTACTTTCAATAGAATCGATCCTTTGCTTCGATACCTACTACTCTCGCGAAAACATTCTTAAACTGGGGCACTGAACTTGCTTTATACCTGTCGATTAGCCAACATTTCTCTGAAGTTGTATAAGTCAAGGAATGAAAGGAAATTGAACAATAGAAAAAAAAACTTTCAAACCAACCGTAAGTTAACCTAGGTAGCAATAATCATTACCTTCTCGGAATGTTAAGCTTGCACGAGATTGTTGTATAAGTTTTATTCGGCTAACGCTTCGATGACTTCACCTTCATCAGAGCCAGTCGCAGATCCCAGTCGTCCACAATTGTTCATCATCTCGATGTGGCGTCTTCGTCGTCGTACCAAAACTTCGTGTAGGCTTAACAGTCCAAGAAGGCATTAATAGAGAAGGAAGCAAACAATACGAATGTTTTCTTTTTGTTTCTATTCGAGCAAAACTATTTCTAAACGATGAAACTGAGAACATTCTATGACAGGGACATCCTTTCTCTTAGTGTGCGTTTTTCAGTACGTGCCGCTGTTTTGTTATTGTCGTTGACGATGACGATGTTGCACATGACCATGGGAATGAATCATTACCCACATAAGATTTATATCTTACTATATATCTCACTGTTCAAATAAAGCCTTCACTAACCTCTTTCAATCAGGCCCACCCTCATTTTCTGAGAAGCTTGTAAATTGTTGTCTTCACAAAATTCGTGGGAGTGTGCGGGGTAGTGATTAGTGACGTTCTGCAAAAAACATGAAGTCGTTAGCTCTTTCCTGCGTTCCGACTAAACCAAGCCCTCGATTTCTCCAGGTTCGGAAATTGGTACCAGACTAATCTAGGAGTATAAGAACACTGATTTGATATATCGGTAGGCTCTAAGAGTCATTCCACAAGCAGTATATGCATTACTTCTGCGATGAATTTAAATGAAGTCGAATTGCTAGTGTATCGTGAAGGAATTGGTTAAAACCTCTCTTTCTCCTAAAATGTAGGATTGTCTCTTCGTAGAACGAAAAGCAAAGCATAACTAGAAAACGAGGAATTTTGTTGTTATCTATTTCTACGCCGTAGCTGATCAATCTTGTCATTGCACCGTCTTTCAGTGATAAGCTAACGCAAGGTTGATAAACAACTATCATTCGGCCTACATTTCGATGTCTCCGTCTTCTTTGGGGCCGCGATGATCCGAGTTGTAGCCACAGTACTCCTTGAAATAGTGTTTTTAGCTGAACAAAGCTATGCAGCTGTGTTTCCACACAGTTTTCTTTTCGAACTAGTTAGCGTTTTATTGTTCGCGGACTGGTTTGTTAGCAATTTCGCCGACCGACCGACCTCGTTGCGGTGATGAGGACGATGAAGTGAAGTACGTGTTTTTCTACCGACTTAAACAACTCTCACTTACCGCATGGGATTTTTTTGTCTCCATTAAATATATCGTTCCTCAAGAAACTGAGTGTAAGCCAGAGCGCTGAATAATTCTAATTGAGAAGAAATCTCGGTCAAGAACGAGAAGAACCTTGTGCAATTCAATTGGTCTTGGAATCTTTGAATCGCATCATATATTTATGCATGCAAACTACCAGATCAAACTTACTTCATTTTTAAAAATTTTTCACATGTAAGGTATCCAGTCAAGTTCGAGCTTGTGCGTCAACTATGAACGCGAACATAATGAAATTACTATGATCAACATTGTTTAATCTATCATTCAATAGCTTTGTCCCAAAGTACTCCGTAACGTACAATGGATTTCATCCCTGTGTTTCTTTCTGTAGAACATGATCTTTTATGAAGAGTTCCAGATTTATACGAATCAAGTGGATCGTTATATGATAAACAATGCAGACTGTTTTCAATCCATGTGGTGCCGAAATGACGGGCGTCTTCAGTTTGAAGGAAACGTAGTCGCATTAGAATCGCAGATTTTTGCCAACAAGACAAGACTTCCCTTGCTCCAAAAAAATGATATCAGGACCTCGGTGAAACACAGAGAACGCACTTTTTCAGTTATTCTGGTTAAAATGTTCATTTCATGCATGAAAGGAACCGAACAAGCTGGATTTCGTCCAGCGGGATAGAACGGCTTTCTACAATTTGTCGCTGATATTAGCCACTGCCGTGCTGGTGCTGGAAATTTTAAGAAAATTAAATGTCTTTGTTCGATCTTTCTTCGAAAGTTTCAGTTTTAGACAGTTCAGCGAAAGAAAAAGGGTCAGGTAGCGCAGTTGTTATGGTGTCGACCATTACGAAAACGGTGGTGGTTCGCCTCTGTCCCGAGCTCGCCACGCTTCTCATTACTCGATGACCAAGAAATTGGTGTCAGTCTCTTCTGGGATCGGCTAATTTTCTGCAGCCCAAGTGAGAACGCTTTACCATAGCAATCTCAGGACTCTAGGGAGACTCAACTCGACCAGTAATCAGCGACATTCGCGATAAAAGGGAAATCCTCAAGCAGCAGACGAACCGGCACTCAAAAAAGACCATCGGGTATGGTGGATGTGTGAGAAGGAATCATTTGCAAGAAATCCTGCGATCCGCACAAAGGATTTGAAAGATAGGTCGTGTAGGAAAAACTTATAGCGCTAATATACACATTTGCGATGAAGGAAAGCTTCTAGTATAGATCTATGAAGTGCTAAACTCTTCAACTACTCTAGTTGTCCAACAATTATGGATGGGTGTTGAGAACCCGAGAACATGAACAGCGCAGCGGTTAAAGTGGCTTTACAATTAAATAGTGGTATTTTGTTGGATTGCCCTCTGAAAGGTTAGAAAACCCCTCTTCTTTCCGGAGTCATCAGGTTGGTGGTAGCAGACATGAATCCAATCATCTTTACGATGCCAATTGGTGTTGGATTTATGGTGCAGTTCTAAGGAATTTATCAGCATCAAACGCCTTATCCTCCCAATTTTTTTGCCAGGAATCCAGCATCGTTTTTTCAATGTTATATTTTCTTGTATTCAGGATGCTATTCGCCTACACTGAAAAGGAATTTCGTAGCGTATACTCGACGACTGTATTCGATAATTGGTCGATCACCGTCAATATTGAGCATCGAACTTACAACGTCAATATTTTCGATACAGCAGGACAGGTATGACATCAGAATCGCTATCGTTCAAAAATACAGTAGAATTTGTTATTGGCTTCATAAAGGCATCACTTTCTAGTGCGATAATGTACTTCTGCTCATATATTACAACCTCGTCAGGCTGTAACTATTGTCGTTGTTGTTGTTATTATTTTTTGCTGTCGCTGCTGGTGTTGTTGCTTCTGTTTCGTTGCTGTCGCAGTGTTGTTGTAATTGTTGTTGCCTTAGTTACTCGAGCGAATTCAACCAAAAACTGAAAACCAGTTCACGTAATCCCTTTTCTTCTCTTACACCCTCTACAACGTTCTGTTTTGGTATTTGTAATGCAATTTTCTTACATGATTTATTAAATACATCATAATGAAGAAAAATTGAGCATTAAATGGAAAGGAAACAGAGGGGTTGTTGAGATATGAGCAAAACTCGGGATCTAAGTTGAACTTCGATCCAGTGATTACCTTCACCGGAGCCTTACGTGCTATCCACTAGGCCAACCGACGCCCTAGTTTTGCCTTTTTGCCAGCAAATTTTTTTTACCCTGATGGTGCTATCAGCAATCACCCGTCCACGGAAATGGCGTGGGGAGCACGAATCAGCATTGAACCTCAATTAAGGTGAGGCTAAGGGGGCAGATAGCACAGTGGAAGTGATGTTCGTCATTACGAGCATGGTCGTAGTTCGATTCCGCTTCGGGCCAATCAAGCCTATAATCTCCCCGGAGTCAGGAAATTGGTTTTGGACTTGTTTAGAAAAAATTCACTCTCTGCAGTCCAATTGGGAACGCTCCAGCCTGGCTTTATCAGGGCACCAGAGAGAATTGCTCGACCAGCATTCTACAACATTCATGATGAAATGGAAATCCTCAAACAGCACTCGAAGCCACACGTAAAAGTTGGAAGACCTTCGTGAACAATGGATGCGAGGAAACGAATCGAATGTGAAAAATGCTGGGATCCGCACAGTAGGCTAATTGCTGATTTTACCGATAGAGTAAAAGGGAAGGCAGTGCGAAGGCAAGCAAGGGTCTGGACTAGTGTGTTCTTCCGTGAAGTGGTTAGGGATTTTCTGACACTGCATCCTACCCGTAGACGAAGCTGCAATAATGCACCACTGCCTTGATTTTCCTTCATTTTTTCTTGTCACTCATTACTCTTTGTCAGCAATACTTGTTTTCGTTCCAGGTTCACTCACTGCACATGGGATTTTTCTTTTCATATGCATACCTGTTTTCTTCAATGCTCGATCTATTTCTTTCATTTTTTCCCTCAGTTATTTTTATGTATCTCTTCCTTCCTTTATCTTTTTTTATTAACATATTCGCAACGGTCTAAAATTTGATCGAAATGCGAGAAATTTCTCTAAAGAATCACTAAATTTGGCGCTGTGCCGTCCTATTGGTTTCCACTGACGTTGCTCCACCTTACAGATGATCTCGATGGAGTGCATTTACTCATTGGTTCTAGATTATACTTTTAATCCATTTATTTCTAGTCGATTTACAAAACGAATTTTGCGATCTCTCACTGGTTTTTGCTTTTAATGCAAAAAAATTCTATAAATACAATGTTGCTTCTGCTCTTCTGCTGATCTTTCGCATCAGAATGAAAGACGTCCTTTAAGCTGACGGCTTCTCCTGGCGATTACAGTACTTGCTAACGTCGGTCTTTTTAAATAGTATTTTTTACATTGAATATCAGGCCATCTGCACTTCCATTATTTCTTATTAAGACTTTCATTAGTTAGCTATAAATAACGATGACTCAAAACCGAACATTCTATGGTAAGCAGAAATCTGCAATCGTTTGTTTTTATATTACGTATTTTTGCTCATTTTCATAAATGATTTTCTCGTTTTCTAATGGGCGCTTGTGACGCAGTGGTCGAAGACGCCCCGCAACACACACATGGCATCGATGAACGCACCCACGGCTCACCAAACCTTCCATCCCTCAAGAGTCGACAAATTGGTACCAGACTTGTCTGAGAGAATAGCAGTACTGGTTCGATTCATTGATGGGTCACCGCGAATCATTGTAAAGACCAGACATGCACTCAATCACCTCCAATGATACAATGGAGTTGAATTCATTGCGCATCCCTCAGGAATTGATCAACGCCGAGAACCTCATCCTTTTTTTTAAAATTTTCTTCTTTTTCTAAATTTTACTAAGTTTTACCTTGAATTCTTCAGAATTCCTTACTTTTTAGATGCTGTAACTTATTAAGCGGGAAAAAATGTCACCAATTTGGAACACAACTCTACAAACGTTTTGTTTAATACTTTATTTTATTCGGCTATGTTTCCTCTACTTGCGATTTGCCTTTTCCAGAATTTTTTTTGCATATTTATATGCCTGTTTATTACTTTTTCTTACTACTATTTCAGGAAGACTATATGCATTTACGATGTCTTAGCTATCCAAATACTGATGTCTTCTTGTTATGCTTCTCTTTGGTTGATCCCAAAAGTCTAGTGAGTTTTTCATTGCTTACTTTTATTTCCTCTTTATGTTGTCACATTTCATTCCTCCTCAATTCTTTTTTTAAAGACATCCTGACTTGTCTTTCGATGGTTAGTTGCGAGCTCTGATCACCTAGGAACAAGAGGAGCATCAGAATCCTCACAAGAAGCCATTCTTGACAAGATTCTAACCCAAGAGCTCGTCAATTACTGTGCTGATATTGGCTCAGTTGTCTTAGCTTGCTGTATTTTCGAACTAGGACATAGAATTCTTTCTCAGTTCTTGGGTGAGAAGGGTATAGATTGGGGAAGATATTTCAGCAAACTTTCTGTTTTCGTCCTCCTAGTACTATCATTTGGAGATTTATTTCCCTGATCTAGAAAGTACAACCATTTATTTCTACTCTTTTTGATGAGATGTATCCATTCTAGTAAACTGGCGGGTTCCGCCTTGGCGATGGATATACTTATAAGCCGTCATTTTGCCGAGTAAATGTTGAGATTCTTTGTTAGCCTATACCCTAAAAGAAACTCATTGCACTTCATACTCATTTTATTGTTGACTTTTGATACAGACGAACTGCAGGATGCAGTATGAAAGTTGATAAACACACCCATGTATGAGTACGAATTCAGGAACAGGACATTGTAATCCGAAACATCTATCCGATGCAAGGTATTGATCAATCCGCTCGACCATTCCGAATAGGGAACCATTTTGTCTTCGTTTAACCCCTATTTATCACCGCCACGTGGCCAACCATCCTCTTAACATTGAGGATGATTTGTGCAAAGATGTATTACTCATTATATTTTTATGTAAAATCAAAAAAGTTACAGCAGTGGTGAATTGTACGCAGTGAATCGAATTCAGGATGTTTGCCAGACGATTTGGTTGCCTGAGATACGCAAATACGCGGGTGATAATGTCCCAGTGTTGCTGATCGGCACCAAAGAGGACCTTATGGAATCAACGGACGAAAGAAAACGGGTATCGTTCGAAGCGGCTCGCAAAGCCGCTAATGAGGTAAACATAAGCAGTTTAAAGAATTTTGATAATTTTTGGTAATCTATACGGTTTTTGACTGACTGAATGGCTTAGACAGTTTCACGTGATTTTTTTCATTTGTTGCTTATATGCTTAGACAGCCTCTATTCACATGATGTATGGTTTTTCGAATTTTTTCCATTCGTTTCATATCTTGAGATTGTCATCCTTAGAGCTGGATGAGTTGAGCGAGCTCAGCTGAGACTTCAAAATACGCCACGTTTTTCCTCACCGATATGTTTTATACTGGTCCGGGTTGACTTTTCTTCGAATCCGAAGATATTCGTGCTGGAGTTCTTGTGGAGTGGAGGAAGGATTGCTGCCTTTCCCAGCTAATTCTTCTAGAACGGCATCGATTCCTTTGACTAGTCACTCCAGAACGACATAAAAAGTTATGACGCAAAGCGCTAAGCGTTGATGCGCCATGCATTCGACTCCGTTGAGCACCACGGAGGAGATTAAATGGACTGTACCGAAACAGCCACTCGTGGAGGATCACCAATGTATGAAATCATTGTTTTCTATTCTTCCCTGATAACTTTGGCACCAATTCGTCGACCCTGGAGAGGCGAATGCATGGTTTGCTCGGGGGTTTCCTCATAACAAAGGGACTACCTGGAAGCTCTGAACACTGCTCGTCTGTCAGAAATAACATAACGTGCCTTTGGGCTTTTGCTAACTTCTTGGTTCCACATGTTACTATCATCTTTCTTCTGTTGTCATAATAAACCACAGTCAGATCGTTCACAATATACTTTCCTATTCGGTCGGGGACTACGTCTACGACCAACAAGCAGAAGATGAAAATTTTTCAGTTTAACGTCGTGCCAATGCTTTTCTTCAATGTCTCACTTCGGTGACGAATTGCTTGCTAAAGACTGTGAACTCATAAGCATATCTGCGTTAACTCACTGGAAACTTTCTCATCACTTATATCGCCAGCATTTTGAGAATTCTGATCGCATGAAGCACCTATTAATTTTCCAAGAGCAGCGAGGCATCCTAGTTCGAGGGTTGGCTTTATATCCTGAACAATAACGTCGATTTTTAGTCAACTTGGTAAGATGCTCGTTCAACCTTGTTGCCGCTCGATGGCCCAGTGATTGTTTGATTGGTGAGTGTATATGCAAACAGATTAACTCATCAACCGTACAATCCAATGTCGCGTCTTATCGACGTACCTTTATTATGTGAGAAAAACAATCTGTACAGAATCAATTCGATAGAATAAAAGTGTATATGTTTTTTCACTGATAAGCATACACGAGATTGGCAAACAACTTTATTCGGATAACGTTTCGACGTCTTCGCCTCATCGACGGCGCCTATACGATCCGAGTCGATGGTCCTACAGTTGTTGGCCTTCTCGATGTGGTGTCTTCGTTTTCACATCGAGTCGGATCTTTTTTCAGTGGAGCATAGCAAGGTGATGAATAATGTCACCTTGTTATAATTTACTAGTTGTACCAACCTTCCGGAATCCTAAGCTTCAACACAGAACAAAAATCGGGAAGAAAATTAGTCAAGACGTGTGGCGATTTAGAAAAATGGCTTTAAAATAGATAATGAAAGGACGAATGTTGGGATACTGTAGACTTCGTAGAAGGACGTTGGAAAGATCTTTGATACTTTTTTTACGTCCTGTTTATGAATCTACTGCATGGACATAACTGCGTAACTTTCACCATTTGTCATTTTCGAGGATTTTTTATTGATTGGCGTCAACTTTAGGAAAAGTTATGACGATAATGCAAAACAATTTATGCTTACCATAAAGTAATAGGAGTTCTAGCATAGAAAACAGATTCTTCTTCTCCTTATTAAATTTCTGAAGCAACCAGTATTCTTCCGCAGCGCGCCAGTTTTTATCGAATGCTATTGCTCGGAAAGGATAGGAAGCCTAAAAATCTTGTGGGCAAGGATAAATGAGGAATTAGTGCTAAAAGACTTCATTTTCTGCTGTAATTTATTGACTCACTATATTTATTACTATTACAGATGGGTTGCGTAAAATTTCTTCCATGCTCAGCGCTTACACATCGAGGTCTTAAGCAAGTGTTTGACGAGGCGTTCCTGGTTGCCATCGGAATAACTATTAAAGATGATTATCGATCACCTTGTTGTTCTCTATTCTAAGTACTTTTCTATTCATGTAATTATTTTCCTGCATCAAATCTTAGCGCTAAGTTGTAGTTTGCTATAGGATTCGTCTTTTAGTTGGTTGTAATATCGGTATAGTGCAAAATTCTACTTGGTGTTCACTTACAGTACAACTTTCTCGTGGTCACAAAAACCTCAGTGAAGTATAATGATTGTGATAACTCTTCAAAGAGCAGTTTATACAGTATTCTGTTATATATTTCATTCTTTACTACTAGTTTGCTCTTCAAATCTGTCTTCCTGCTGACTTTGTCTAACTGTCTGGTCTCTCTCGTGTTAATTGTCTCTCTGGCTTCTCCCACGTTAATCGATTACATGCTGGTGATCTGCTATAGACAGATTTTTGATGAAGACTACATGTCTTACTAAGACATATACAAGCTTATTGGGTCCGTTATACGATACTCGGTATACTTTCCTTTTCAATATTTTACTTTATTCTTTGTAGATCACATGTGCCTTTATGCGTTTAAGTGACGCTATCGCCAAACATCTTAACTGATGTAATCATTTTTGTTAATGCTAGCTGGTTGCTTAATATTACAAATAATATTAATCTCCATTTCAAAAACAAAAAACTCATCACCACTTTTGTAAAGTGGTTGTTCTTCAAGGGATCCACACATAGCTAGGCTTTATTACTCTTATGAAAATCGTTTGTGCCTTAAAACAGACAATGTTGGGTTCGTTAACATATTCACCAAGCCAAGTGTATACCTAATATCGAAAGGTGGCAATCATGGCATAAGTTATGTACAGAATAATGAAGTCGCTCAAGACGTAACCAGCATTTTCTGGCATTGAGTGCTTTTGTTCCATCTATCGCGTATGTGGAGTTCCTGTTATGTACCTGACAATCATGTCGTTAACAACTCTTGCATCTTCGGATATGTATACATATATAAAAAGGATAAAGCTCTCTGTGTTGATCAATCCCTGAGAAATGCGCAGTGAATTCGTCATCACCAAGTATTGTGGGTGATAATTGAATGAGATCATGCTTGGGACGGTGGATCAATCCCATGTGTGTATTACAGGGAGCCTCCGACCACTGCTCCACACGCGAGCTCAGTCTCCATAGTGCGTTCAAAAACGCTGAATGACCAACTTTCGTCTTACTATCTTAGCATTGTTATCTTCGAAATTAACGCTAAGGGATGGAGAATTGTAAAGCAGGAAAGGTGAACAGGGAACAACGTATTTCTTACATTCTTCATTATATGTTTGATGTTTTCCACTTCTTATTTCATGCCAACTTATCGACCCACACGAACTGAAGCGGTATTCAGATACTAGCTCATTTAAATGTGGATGAACCATTAAGTGAGAAACCCGTTTCACATTAGCATCGTTTGCCATCGTGCGTTCAGCACGTTGAAGTACTTAGCATTCCTTCCAGGATATTAAGATAGTTAGAAATCATCGTACATGAGGTTTTAACTCATAAATGTTACTCCTCAATACCAATTTGGATGCAATTAGCACCCCATCGAAACATCTGGCAACGGTCATTTTGTTTTTGTGAATTGCAAAGTCCCCAGAGGATCAGATGGCAGAGTGGATATTCATGAGAATAACCAAGTTTCTTGGGTAGTACTCATTAGGGAAGGTTTCATAACTTGGGAAAAAGTACGTGTAAAAAGAAGTGGGATACAATGCCGTCATAGTCGACGTGGAATTCTTAAACATAGTTACTCTTAATATTTGTTCCCCACTTTAGTTCAGTTTCTACAACAAAAAGCGATATTTTGAAGCGAAGTGTGAAACTGCAACCCATCAGAGAGTGATAGGCAAACAGGTAACCACAACGAAGATTGTTGTTGCTTGTCCTTACGTTTCTTGTCAGTTCTTTACAATCATGGCAGTCATACCGTAGATTTGAGTGTAAACAATGAATACTAAATCATCATAACTAAGGTAATGCTGAGATATTGGCAAAACTCCGGACCGCAGGTGTCTGCGGTGGGGAACGAACGAGCTATTGTCCTTTCCGGGGTGTAACTAGGTTCGTTGCCGATTTTGGCTCCCCAGATCAGTCCCGTTGACGGGTGATTGCTGATGGCGCCGATCAGTAGAACTAGCTGAGAAACAGGAGAAACGAAACACTTACGTGGTGTGGTGGTGAACGCGTTACTCACCGGAAGGGACAATAGCGCGTTCGTTCCCCACCGCAGACACCTGCGGTTCGGAGTTTTGCCAATATCTCAGTATTATCTTAGTTGTATTTCACATCATACCCTGCCGTTAAAAATTATAGCAGGCAGTAAATAAAAAGAGGTTAAGATTGTAAATCAGCATAGTTTCATTTATGGACTGTTACGATTAGGAAAGTCAAAAAAAACCAAGCTATCCAACTTCATGTTAAAATTTTATTACACTCTGGTCGTCATCAAATTCAACGACATTTTCTAAAACTGTGGATCCGATCGCAAAGAAACAAATTCAGAGCAGGTATGTGTACGTAATAGGGAGAAGACCATCCATCTTCTCCTTCTATGTTGCATATGCCCTGCCATGAAACACAGCCACCACATTGCACCATAAATCATATGCATATCTGAAAGCCCTTCTAATCCAACTTATGCTACAAGACAAACCAACGTCGTTTTAAGCTTAGTTACATTCGAAAGAGGACAAAGGTTAGGCTTACAATAGCGTAGGCACTATTGATGACAGTACTCCATTGAAGTATGCCCAGGCTGGGAGCGCAACTACATTGTATGTGGTGAAGAACGGCGTGTAGTTGTTGAAGTTCAAGAAGATCATCGACAGAATCGCAGATGATTGAAGTTTTTACATATGTAAGAAGACTCTTTCATGTAAAATTGAACAACCAACCGCAAATTCTTTATTAAAAATTCGTCTAACAAGAAAAAAATAAAAATAACGTGCTTTAAGAAAACTAATAAGACATTAATATTTAACCATCTTCATGTAAATAACAGTCCTTCTTACAAAATGAGAGATCGAATGATGAGTTCCCGCATAGACCAGTGAGTTGGTACAGCAATTATGATCGAGTATTCGACATTCTATTCGAACAATAAACGGAATTATTCGAATCTTTCGAGTACAGATGTTAGTCGACATTCGAATAATCGATCACTATGTACAGAATTATCGAAAAATACTGCCATATAAACCTGTTTCAACAGAAAATGCAAAAAATCGTCCCAGCAAACATAAACGACGATGAATAAAGGTGGACAATCATCTGAAACGGTTGACATGAATCCGAATATTCTAGCGAGTACCGACTCGAATATGAGAATGTTCAAGGAAGATGTTAAAGAGTATTACACTGGTAATGTTGCGGATGGGCTATCATGATGAAAAAGGACAATAAATGATAGTGGAATAAACGGAAACGAGAAAACACGACAGCACTGATAAGGAACGCTAGAAAATCATAGTTGATAAGCTCTAAGACAAGTGACCAGTATAAACCACTAAAAAATCTGATCAACAGAATTTTTTTCCCAATCTTTTCTTAACTTACTATAGCAAATTTTGCTTGGGCAACGTCTTCAGGAACTAGTGCGCGGTTTAAGTCAATATTGTATAATATTTTAATAACCTACTGGTTGAGCAGAAGCAGGTTTGATTCACTTAAAGCCCCGACTTCTTTTCGTTCTTTAGTGTCTCGAGTTCTTTAATCTTTCATTAGAATCTACAGTATAAACGATTCGGTCCATCACTTTTTAGAGTCGATTCAAAGATACCATCTATTTTTGTTTAGACAGCAACACACAGCAACATCATTACATACAATGTTGCAGAAGCAAAACTTTTTAGAAACCAGATTGAGAAGGCTCCGTCCAGTGGTGATACAAAAGGGTGCGTTTGATGCTCGATTTTTGGATAGCACTAAAACTACTGAGAACAATAAAATTGTTAAACATTCCAATAGCAACTTTTTCTCAACCCGATTAATTATCAAACAACTTAATCGGGCACTAATAATAAATTCCATTCCTGCACATGGCGCATTAGCACTGATAATGCTCCACTTGCTCAACAGACAATGAGAGCATCAAATTTCTCGTGTGAGGCTCATCGTTTTACCGGGAAGCCAACTATAAATAACAGGTTAGTTCTTATTTTATGCTACGCTTCTGAGGTAATGAACTTTATACTGTAAGTCGCAGTCTGAAAAGAGCACTTGCCAAACATGAAAAATTGGTAAACCACTGGGAGGATCATATGAGTAAAGATCGTGCGCGATATTAAGCACTGTGAGCAAATATAACGCAAAGTTCCTTCTCCGGAATTGTGTGCATTCTCATGACTGAGGTGTCGCTGGGGAATAGATGAGAAGGCTCTAACACGAGAAATGTGTCGCTGAAGGTGAATAATAAAAAAAAGTGTTGTAAATTAGGAAGAAATTTTCTACGTGGGCAAGTTAGGAGAGTCATTAAACCTTACGATGGAGTTAATGTGCTGAAACTCATTTCACTAGTCAACGAAGTGCTTTCAAACAAGATCCTCGTTTTCCAGGTAGGGCTGCATAAGAAAACCACTCCCCCGAAACATATCAAAGTCGTCATTCTCGATGTTGATTAGATATCAAAATGTGGAGAAGTTTCTCTCATACACCTATGTGTTCTTCTCCGACAATGCTGTAAGGCATAGCGTATGAACCTGCTACCTTCTCAACCAAGCTTTGCATGAAATCTGTTGTTTGAACAAGCATAGGAAAGGTCGTGACTTGTTTGTGGTGACAAAATCAGCAATGCCTTCACATTGGGGCTTTTGGTCCTCTTTTCGCTTATGAGAACAAGTGACACATGTATACTTCCTACCATGTTTTTATGGATGTCGAGCGCCATAAACAAAGTGAAATAGAAATGGCTCTTCCTACGGAAATCACTCAAACATGACAGCGCTTGGAGAAATTCCCCACATGTTGTCTTCAGTGTAGGGTTAGGGCAGAACCCAAGCGACCACCTATACGGTGGGATTCTCAGGTGCCATTTTCACATACACTACTTGAATCGTCATCGAACACCTCCTCGCATGCTAAGCTGGCCAAGCCATGATCGTCGTCTGGTGATAGTCCTCGGCTCTTGCTAAACATAATTAATGATGCAATACATGACAAACGATGAAAAAGTTGGTATAGAAAATGAGCGAACAGTTTGGCTGCCTCATGTAAGCGCCTCATGAGTTCCTGGTGTACACTATAATTCATTTTTTTACTCTTGACATTTAGGTTCTATAGCCTTTTCTAGGTTCAATTGACTATGTCATCAGAATCTGTACACGTGAAAATCTGAAATTCTGAATCTGAAATTTCAATATCTCCATTTTATTAAAGACCTTGTGAAGAATGCATAGTTATTGCAAGAAAGATTCAAACTTCATTAGGAATAGGCCACAATCAAACTGTGCAAAGGTGAAAGAAACGAAGCGAAAATGAAGTCGTCTCTTTACAGCGAATATTGAAAACGTTATGAAATTGGAAACTTGGATGGCCCGTCTCCACTGTTTGTGCGGACCCCAGTATAATTTCCATTGTTTCGGAGTTTTGCTGGTCTAACATTGTGGTAGTTTGGAGTCCAGAGGACAGCTTGGCCAAAGTCTGCCCCAGGTCGTCACCACCACAGGCGGTCCTCAGCCCTTGTGGATCAGAGGGAGAAAATCAGCAAAAAATTACGGCGTAAGCTATAAACGTACATTGGTAAGTACGTTGGAATATCATGCTCATCTGCCTTATCAACCATCAAACAAACGTTTTCACCGCGTCTGCTCAGCAAACAATGTAATTCAATAGATGGAAATTGCTGCAAACCTTCAAGGTACGCTGAAGGCAAGATGTTTTGTAACTGGATTTTGTAGTTTCATAAGACTTTTAAAGTTGAAATCTGTCAAAACCCTCAAAACGATCATCATGAGTTCAGCTAATTTCTCAAACAATCCCAAAAAGAATTGCCAAAATGTTTCTCGAAGTAGAGATAAGATCTGAGAAGTAACCACTAAGAGATAAAAAGCCACTCCTATCTTCGTAGAATACAATCGGCATAAGCAAGAACGCACCACACAAACATGCATGAATACGCCTAACAAATGCAGAATGTATGTGCCAAATCAGCGCAGCAGAAACAGGGAGTCCATCCCTGGATTTATCTGCGTCTCAGGGAAGCAAAGGTCGCTTTTGGTCCGCCATTAACCCCCTATCCGCCACCTGGGGACGCGCCACGTAGCCTCGCGACTAACTGGCTCGAGATCCCTCATATGAGGGAGATCCGTGGACTCCTATTTTCATCAATGAAAATCAATAGAAATACCACATTTGTTTCTCAGGACTAGTAAGATGGGGTTCTCAAGAAATTATTACCTCTTTAGAAACAGAAGCTTCCTAAAAGTTTCCATAAGAATTATAGCCTGCCAATGTTACGTAGGTTGAATTTACCAGGATATTTTTCAAGGAACAATGGCTATCTACTACTCCAGGACAAAAATGTCATGAATTTTTCAGTTTATGGACTTCAAAGCAGAAAAAAAAACGATTTTACTGAATTAGACGCTTTGGGCCGTGAATTCACCCAAGGCGGCGGAAAATCGATAGCCACTATTTGCAGGGCACCATGGAATCCATGACAGCGGTATTTTGTCTACTGAAGCAAGGCCGTTTCGAACAGTTTTAAGTAAATCGTGCACCTTTTCACGATATTGCTGAGTCATAAAAATAGAAAGGTTCTAAAAATAGTGTTCGAAAATAGATTTAAAGAATATCTCTCGACACCAATACTTTTCTACCGACTAGTTGGTACTGCTACCAACGGTTCACCGCCTCATCGTGGCTGGGAAATGTTCCTGGGTGTCCGGCTGCGATGTACCGCGGAGAGTTCATTGCCCAGCACGGCCTCCCAAACTAAGAAGCAGTCTGACGTTTCAATCAGGAAGCCGAGCTAAGAGTGAATCAGTAACAGAAATCATCACCGTCCAGGTATAAAACTAGTCGCATAGCAGCCAAAGTCTCTTTGATCAAAACGGGCAACGAATACCTGGTGTGGTGACGACCTGAAGAAAGCACCGGCTATGCTGACCTCGGCACTCCAGGAAGCCACAATGAGTGAACCAGCAAATGTCAATTAAGCTGGGGCTGACACTACTGGTGAAAACGGGCCAAGCAAGTACCTAAGTACTTAATATTATTATCATTCACCGTATTTAATTTACATACGTCAACATTGATTGCTTATTAAGTTCCCACTACTTTTTACAAGGAATGGTAAAATTAACCATAAAGGATGGAGCCTTCTGTATTCACTAATACCTGAGGAATGAACCATGCATTTGACTCCAATACATCAAGAAGATGACTGAATGAATAACTACTTTACGTCATAGCTTTCGCGTGCTTAACGACATAACAAGTCTGTGTTTCTTATCCTCGCAGCAAAATCTTATGATAATTACCTAACACCGATGATAGAGAGGAATTGGTAAGGCCGACTATCGGGGTCAAGCTAACGAATTGTAAAGCATTTCTAACCACTGCACTATACGCACCCCAATTATTATATCGCCAATTATTTTCGTTATTTTAACCCATTACGATAGCAAGGATAAAAAGCTTACCAGCAATCTACGCTTTCAGATTGCGCTCTCGTTCCTCGAAGGGAAGATCGATAAAGCTTATTCAAACAACCAAGCTTTTCACCGGAACTGCTGCACTCCGGCAATGCTGCGGGCTCGGGCGACGAAGAGGTGGAAATTGTGGACACTGTTCGTGGCCGAGCTCTTCTGCAAAAAGAATATAAAAATAAAAACAAAGTACGGTCTTAGGTTTCTTGAAAGCCAGTAAAATTTTGAACATAAAGTGCGACTATTCATTTTATTAATCATTACTGCCCTCCAATGAGTTTACCGCTTCATCCAATGCAGGAGGCGTTATTGGGAGTTTAAATGTAATGAACAGTAGGAATTTAACTCTCTCTCAACATGGTCACCGATTTGAAAAAGAATTCTACATTTCCATTCGGAATGTTATCTCCTTCTTGGCTAAAACTAAACCAATGTACAGAAGGAAATAGTGCCTGGTAGAAGACAACTAACGTCAAATTATCCTCTGATCGACAATGGCTGGAAATTACCAGTGATGACAAACTGTGAACGCCCTAACACGGGCCTCTCGGGATCCGACGACAGAAAAACAACTGGTTTAACGCGAATCAAAGGCGAAAATGCACTTCACTACCGCTAAAACGGAAGTGAATTCAGGTGATGTGCTCCCTATTTCTAGCAGAATGGGTTGCCATATATTCTTTAGGTACTCAGTGATACCGTCGTACACGTGTACGGATAAGGTTCCATGTACACAGATTTTACCCAGTATATTGATTCGGACAAACTCCTGTAAACAAATGATTGGGAAGCACACGGCAGGCAGCGACACTACGAACATCCGGGGTTGTATAACAGTTAGTATGCCAAGTCCTGCACTATAAGCCTGAAAGCTAGGTGAACACTTTTACTAAAAACCTTCAAAAAACGAACCCCATACAAAAATTGCTACGACATTCATTTTCCTTTAACGAGTGAAGCCTAAAGGATGGCTGTCAATGCGCACTGATTTCGATGCACCAGCGTCCAAAAATAATCCCGTCTTTCAACTATCATTAAAGACATTTACAGCTCATAGCGAACTTCACGAAATGAAGTAAGAACCAGTGGAACTTAGGGAACCCTGCCAACAAAATGCAAGTTCTTATATTCTACGGAATGAAATTCATATTTTCTGGAAAATTATTTTCCACTTCTTACTCGTTTTCCTTTCACTAATATTTGTACTTTGAGATATCACTGAAGAAGTGGAACACTGTCCAGCAAGATGGGATGTTCGCAAACCCACAGTTGACGGTTCCGGTTGACCTATCGAATTTTTCAAAAATTCGCGTTTTGAATACTTTCCCAAATTGGGTTTAAAATAGTTTCAAACTAAGGTAAAGCTCTAGACAAGTTTAACACACCCTCAGGACGATATAACAACGTTTTTCCTATAAGTATGCTAATTTCAAGTCTTCTCGAAGGCTAAAATTGTCGCTTTGTCGGTGCATTCTTCAGCAGCAGTATCACGACGACGTTAAACGTTTAAATCTGTTGTTTTCTTTTTTACAGCAATCACGAGGTTGTTACTCAGTAGCTCCGTATGTGATCTTTTGTTATCTAGCCCCGTATCTCAGAACTGATTTTTGATGTGGGGTGGTGCAGCAATCAACCATATGCAACTCTAAGCGGCCGTTCTTCGTCGATGGAAGGTAAGTAAAAAAAACGGTGGGTTTCTCGAGAAGCCGGTGATCGTGTAATTATTGTTCAGATTTCCATCTTCCTGTTTGCGTTGTTGAAGCGTTTGACTTAGTAAATTACATATTAGTGCACCCTTCCAGGCTCTGAAGAAGGCGATACTGCCGAAACGTCAGCTACCGTTGTGTTGTATGTGTTATATTTGTAACGAAGTAAAAACGTCTGCTGAATAACAAATTCGCAATTGCTGAGAAAGAAAACGAATTTATAAACCAGTGCCGAGGTTAATAAAAGGTCAATTTTGAAAACTGTTAAAGTTTTACTTACGGCCGATTGCTTTTCCATGACAGTGTACTATATGAAATGCAATCACAATGATGCTGAGATATGAGCAAAACTCAGAACCTCTGGTGGACTTCGAGCCCGCGACTACGCTTTCTCTTTCCCTTTCCCTTTCCTTCTCCTCCGATTGATAGGTGATTGCTGATAGAACCGGCATGCTAAAAAACGGGCTGAGAGAAATTCAAAGCAAGGACCTAGGTAAATGCAGTAGATAACATGTAAGGTCCTGTTAGGAGCAATGGCAAGTGCGAAGCCCGCATTTGGTTCCGACTGTCCCGTATATCTCAGCATCACTGTTGTAATGTCAAGAGAGTTGGAAAGGAGTTTGATTGGTTTTGACGGTAAATAAGAACCAACAGAACTAAAGATCGCTGCGGTGCACAACTTTTCCACTCAGTAAGAAATTTTTAGTCGATTTTTCAAAGAAAAAAAAACAAGTCAATGTGATCAAGAAAAAACTGTTTGCGAAGATAATCCGAGCATATAATAGCTTGGTTGCTAATGGAAAGAAGAAACGCCTACACAAGGTCATTATAAGAGTATAGACTACAAGAAAAAAGCTTTCCTGCAAAAACACATACTTAATCTCGGTTAATACCTAGTTTCTAGATGACATTTCTCTTTTGACTGATTGTAAAAAAAAAAAGCACCCACATATAGCTTGAAAACAGTTTCGTCCTTGCCACATCGGTCTTCGGTGTAATCCAATCCACCAGCGAAGATTTCCTACGACATTCGGCTACTGCATTTGCTCTGCATTCACAATGTACTGCCAAACCACAATCCTTGCATTTCCAACCTTGTCGGATCAAACCCCACAACTATAACGGACGCAATTAAAGCGATCGAAAAAATATTATAAGTTGTTGCTTACCAAATTCTGAGAAGTCGGACACAGAAGCTCAGAAAATAAAATTGGCATGGATTCATTTATTCTACTCAAATACGCAGACAGTTAGTGAAACCTTTCGTCTACCTTGTTGAGTAAAGTAATAGAAATATGTAAAATGAAAGATGAAAAATAAAAGCAAGTGCTGACCAGACGATTACAATGACTACACGAAGTTGGCGTCAGGAAAGTAGTTTCATGAAAATTGTGCTTGAATCCAAGACGAAAATCGACGGAATCATTGTTCGTCTTAACAAAGTACGTTTTCAGCTCCTCCTTCGATATTTGACCATCCCTATACAAATACATCCTTTCCTTGTATAGTAATTAGAAAACCTTGCAAACAATGTTGGCATTAGTGACAGCATGTGCCCCGTATTCATCTCTCATTCCTTTGGTATTGGCAAACTGGAACCAGACTTGTCGGAAGCACAAAAGCACTGACTTAATACGGCCCATTAATAGAGCCTAATGAGTGGCGCAGCCACAAAGACTTGATCAACACCGAACGCTTTATCTTGTATTGATATTAACTACGCTGCCGTCTTCTTGATGACCACACACAATATTGTTACTTTATTCTACATGCGCAAGAAAAGACTGACGTTTCGGCAAATGTTGCCTTCTTCAGAGCCTAAAAAGGTCAAGCTAACTGCAAACTAGTCGACCATACACCTCTATCATCTCCATAATCAAAAGATAAATATCACGGATGTATCACAAGATGCTGCCGAAAGCCAATAAACAAAAGCAACTGATTCGTTACGCCTCCTCTTAACGCTAACACACAAAAAAGTCACTTCTAAGAAACTTGTCAAACAGCCAACTTTGCGTGAACAAGAAGAAATCAGAAGGAAGAATTACTGAAACTGGCGTAACAAATAGCCATTTCCAGTGGCTACAAAACTATAGTTCCTCGGGATAGGTGCTGAGGAAAACCAACCCCAAGAGATAATTCTAGCGGTAATGAGGTCCCGTTTACGCTGCCTTTCATTTCTAACAAAATACGTGCAGCTATAAAAAGTTGCTTAAGAAGGACCGGTTTAGAGAATTCAGTAACAGTAATTGAAATACCGCCAAGTACCCTAAGACGCCACTCGTTCGCGGTTGCATGTATGGACGTCTATGCACAACGCAAAGTTGCATAATTTTCCCTAACGGTAGAGTTGGTGATTTCATGAGTTCGGTTACGGTGTACCTTATCACTTGCGAAGCATGCGGGAACGAATAAATTCGCGAAACGGGTGGACCACTCTGCGTCCATATGAAGGAACATCTAGTCGGTAAACTTAAACTAAATATTCCATTAGAAACGCATAGTATACAGAGACATAATTGGGAGATTTTGAAGTAGAAGTTACCATCCTCGCAAAGGGGAGCGAAATTCAGGACGCAAAACCCTCGAACCATTCTGGATAGATTTTAAGAAACCGGAAATGGACCACAGAGAGGAATATCTCGCAATCACGCCTGATCTCACACAGAACATAAGACTGATATTTTGATATGAGAGCGGCACATTACGCTTCCAGGGGAACTCTGTGCGGTTGGTCTCCATGTGAAATACTCATACTCATACTGAAAGTGGGAAACTCATAGAAAGCGGTGAGTGCGCGAAGAAGCTAATTTGTCTTCAATGTCACTGAAATCATGGTTCCGTGATCTCTCTTTTTTAGTTACGCAGATGTTCGGCTGCATACATTACAGTCAACTTGACTATTCCAGGCTCTGAGGTAGAAGAAATCCGCCAAAACGTCAGCTTTTCTTGTGAATGAAGAATGAACTAACAACTTTGTGTTTGCTCATCAAGAAAACAGTGAATTACTTGATAATTGCGAAGGTTAATAGAAAGTCCTGAGAACTACTATTGTCGTTACTGTTACAAATCGTTTGGACGAACCTGTCCAGATCTATTGTTCCGAACGGATCGATAAACGGAAAATTTCCGGAAATTTGTCGAAATTCGGCTTCACTGATGTAACCATCGCGATCATGATCATAGTGTTTAAACACCTTCAAATACACTTATGTAGCACATTATCCAAAACAATGGAAATTTTTGGCATCAGAAATTTTGCAAAAGTATTTTATAATCAATATTTTTCATAGGCGTTTATGTACACCACTTTAAAGCTCTATTCACCGAAGAAGACATATGAAGAGAAAACTACGGAACAACTTAATCCTCCCAGCAATTTTTCATATCCAGCATTGTTAGAATCCTCCCTATTTATCCGATAACTTCACACAACCAGTTATGCATTCATTACTCCTTTCATTACTTTATTTTGAATCCTCCATTTTCATTTTCATTTACATTTCGTCAATAACTACTCGCTGGCCTCTAAAATGAAAAAAAAAATAAGCTTTTTAATTCCAGGTGTTCTAAATCGACTAAAAGAGGACAGAAAAGGCTAAAATCCTAGTTTTGGTTGCTCAAGTGCTACTTCAGCAGTACTTATCAGAACAAGTCGTCGAAAACGGCGGCGAAAAAGAAGTAGAATATCCTTTCCAGGAGGTTTTTCAACAAAAGGAATTCTTACCGCATCGACCATCGCTGACACATGCTTGTTCACCGTCTCAGGATCGAGTGCCGCCGATACGCCAGACGCCCATTCGGCAAACACCACCGGTGTGTTCGATTCAAACTGAAACGACATGGAAGATGTAGAATAGCAACTAGAAAACGGTGTCATTTCATTTTAACCTTCCATCCTTCAAAAACCATAGCTTTTTCCAACAACATATTAAAGGAAAACGTGCTCCTAGATGTCGAATGCAGAGTACCGTCAAGTTCGCTCCTTCTAACAGGAGCTACCAAGCTGATAGCCACTTTATCATTTTCAATCAGAAGTCCACATAAGAGTAAACCAGTACTAGAAATTTGTGTTGTCTTAATAAAAACCTAGTCGAAGGGTGAAAAATACCACACTGATCCAGCAATCGCATGTGGAAACGAGTTGAGAAAGTCTTAACATACATATCATGGGACAGTGAAAACTGCCGGTCAATCAAAAACCATGCAGAGGCATATAGTGATTCTTTGGGAAGACAATATATTCAGATATATGAGAACTAGTGCTTTTTGCAAAGTGAATGTTTTTCTAATAGCGGAATAAAACTTAATCTCACCGTCATTAAAGTGCGCGGCTCTCGTCGAACAGACAGCTCATAGATGTCCTCCTCATTATACCGAATGTCTAACGACACCTGAACAAAAAATTACCGATGAAATTAACAAATCTAGACTCGATTGTAGCAAATGCTGACTAAATCTTGAGTCGAAACCCTTCATCAGTTCCTTTTTCTTATTATTCTTTATTATTTTTCTAAGAGAATCTCTTGTAAAGATACAAATATGATTTTGTACGGATAACGGCTATTATTCGTTTGAGCGAACTGAAGTCAGAAAGACAAGCTAAGGAGAGTTTAACAAAAATTAAAACGATCCATATTCTTGGGCGTCGTCGTCCATGTCGTCAAATCCCTTTAGAGTCCGATGTAACTATATGTAGGAACTTTGCACCCTTCTCCAAAAATTATTCTGTTGTCCTGAGCCGGATATTTCGAAGATTTTTGAATAATTCAAGCGCTCGGCTTTATTCGGTTAAGCCAGTAAATTGCAAGAATTGAACCATTGACATTCATGTAAAACTTGCAGTAAAATACCCTCAAGGTGTTGATCAGGTCGAGGTTCGCATCCGGAAAATTGTGCTGCCGTTGATTGAAGATCATGAAATGTGAGAGCAACGTACCTAAGCGATGCAACCTGCAAAATCGAGTAAAAACTGTCATTCGTTAGAAAAAATGGCACATAGTAATAGAAAAGCAAGCATCCTCAAAGAAAAAGCTTTTCACCTCGATAATCGAACGAATTTATAAGCATTAGCAGGAGAAAAGAATGTCTCAGAGTCAGGGTTCCATTAAAGGAAATGCTTTATGTTTGTGAAATAAACCTTTAAACCAACAAATAGAAAGGATGGGACGCTGTTTTTAAAACAAGTGCTCCTAAGCCAGAAAACGAGATGCCAGTTAGGAAAAAAATTCACCATTGCACCACTAGAAGGCAACACTTCCCATTTAAAATTCCCTCGCGAAGGAAAGAAAAAGGGTTATAGAAAGTACAAAAATGATCGAGAATTATTCTGTGTCGATGCTGGTTGACTATTTCAATAGGAGTATGTGATTTCAATGCTTCTCTTTACTTGGAAACACGTTAAATATTGCAATATCCCCGAGGAAAAGGAAAAGAAAACGAATGGAAACCTTGCGATTGTAGTCGCTAACGTTCTTTTTTTGTGAAATTTCACGGTGTACTATAACATTTTAAAACTAAACATAGTGGATATGTGGCAGTCCAATCAATAAATCGATAACGCTACCTTCTTAAACTGATCGTCAGCGTTTTGTCAAAGCCTTCACCACAACATGTGGCGGCGACCAGATCCTTTAAATGAACGCCTCTATAAATTTCGATTTAAAATTCTAAAAAAACCAGCGAATAGTGGAAAATACTCCACTTTTGGCACTGAAGATGATATGTGCCCAGAAATACCTCGCCCGAAAGAAGTAATATTTTACATTAACGTAAAAGTCCATTTTTTCTAGAATCTAAGTTCACCAGAGTGACGTACCGACATCATAGTTTTTCGCCAGCTTTGATAGGATGTGAAAGCCCGAATAAGATAAAGATTATAAATATATCCAAATAACACTCGAAAAATGGGGAAATGGCTTCAAAGGATAGAACAAGTACGCAATTCTAAGATTCTATAAAACATAACAAGGGGATAAAGCATCCTATCCCTTAGGGGCGTCCCATGCCTACGACTTCATCAAGCAACACAGGATGAATGAATACACATTTGGTTTTCAGAGTGACTCAAAAGTGGTCTATCAATATATCAAGTCAGTGCTTTTTTATCCTCCCAGAGTAGTATGGTACCAATTTTCCGATCCCAGAGAGATAAAGAGCTTGGTTTGCCCTGAGAGTGATAGCGAACGCAGAGCATTGTTTCTATTGCAGCACACCTCCGCTTACTGCGCTTCTCGAGCTTCTAGGACTACATCTATTACTGCATCCCTGGTCTGGTTCCATAGAGTGAGTTCCGGTGTCAGTATATAGAAGAAGATTACAATGAGCATATAGTGACGTTATAGTAGCTATCACACTTGAATATACATAGTTAAAAGACTAACATTATCGGAATCCTAAACTTTACACCCAACGCAGCCAAAGCCTTTCGATATTCGCCGAAGTTGGACTGAACTGATAACAAGTTTGTGAGTTGATTTAAATCCTGAAATAATTAGGATTAGAAATCGATTGTCACCGATTAAAACTCAGGAACATTTAAGAAACAGCACTAACCTTCCTAGTTTCAGATGCTATTTGCGAATTCGTCTTTGAAAGCCGAGAAATATTGCTGTGTGTAATACCACCGATTACCGCCATTAACGTGTTAAAATTGCATAATTTTCGCAAATGCTAAAATCAAGAGATTTTACTAGACTACACAAATTCGAACACCTAAGCTTCCGATTTTACTGCCCGTCGAGCATTATTTCTTCGATTATCATCCAATACCATTAGTTCGCCTGGATAGTCAGATAGAAACTAAGTCTTACTGTGAAATAAGAAAAAGTGAAAATTCCACAAATGAGGAAACTAAACAGTAAAAGGCTACAAGAGCATGCCATCTGAATCATTCACCCTTCACTAATCGTCAAGTGGTTCAAACAAGCGCCAGTTAAGTTCTTATTCGTTCTTGTTACATGCCTGACCCATCTAGAGAAATCTGATCATTCCAGCTATATAAGGACACCTTTCTCATTAAGCACCTCTGAGCGTCGGTCCGCGGTTGTCCTTCGCACATCTGATCTCACTTGAGTCATCCTATCGCTTTTTCACAAGATGATAGTGAAGAACCATTGCAAGGCTAGCTAATGATAAGTTGTTCATCATGCCTTTTTCCTACCGAGATATGAGTATTATACAACCACTACACAACTAGGTATAGCTCATACGGAGATGTTGGTTATGCTAAGCGTGAATAAGAAATCGGAAATAGGTTTTTTTTACGAGAACGACATCTTATGTAAAGAGAAAAAATGCCTTCAACACTCAAATCTCCAGCTGATAACCTTTTCATAAAATAGGCCTTCATAAACGTGATGAAAAACAAACATACCAGATGCTGTGTTCCAGTTACGCGTTAAGCTTTAATGAACCTTGTAATATTCATGTGATTAAGATAATTTTCACTATTGCCATGGGCATAATACCTGTTCCGCCTCGGAATGGAATCTTTCTTGTCTCGCAATCGGTGAAATCTCAGCAGGAGTTCTAGATGTTCTCTCTAACGCCTAGGCATCAATGAGTACAGCTTCTCTTCTCCTTCACATCTTCTTTTTACTGACTCACTATTGAACTGTCAAAACCCGCATCAAAATTGATGTGTTGAATCAGCAAGAAATTATCCGAAGACACGTGTCCATTGTTGAATTTCTCACTTACAGCTTTCTCAGCGCTGTTATTGAAAGGACCAGTTTCCGATTTCGATGCTTTGGCACTCTTTTCTATGAAATTTTTCAAGGCAATGGTGCTCCAAAACAGTGGAGAACGTTGAGGCACTATTTACATCTATTACGTAGAACCTTCGCCTTACAATATCGTTGATTTCATCACAACAGTTTCCAGCTGTGAGCTTTAACGTCCAATATCCAATGCGGAACTTCTGGAGCTCTGAGTTATCATAGAGAAGCCGGGCTATACATATTGATGTACTTAAACAGCATTTCTCCCTATCCATTTAACATCAATCTGTTAGTTCCGCAATGCGCTTCGTCTAACCTTCCCCAGGAATCAATCTTGACGTTGAAGTCGTCAGTCTTACAGAGGAGTTAACTACCTCTGTAGAATTTCTCCTTGTCTATATGAAATGTGTCAATCTATATCGCAGCTAGGTAGTGGACCAGAAACCGTAAACATCGGATTCAGATCATTACTCATTCCAATGAATCGTTGGTCATGATGGCTATCTGGACTAGCGGAGTCAGAAAATCAATTCTTTAACTGCCACAACCGACTTTCTATTAACCTCGGCATTGATCAAGTAATTTTCTTCGTATTTTTGTTGAGCAAACGCAAATAACAAATAAGCAAAGCAAACAATAACACCTCGCGTTTGCTCAACAAAAATACGAAGAAAATTACTTGATCAATTCTTTAAGTCCATTTGCATCTCAAGTCTAGGGCATTGCCGATCTCAACCTATATTTAACTTCTATCCGCACCTTTGAGACCATCCAGCTATATAAAGTACGATGTCATGAAAAACGGAGCTAACAATTGAACACTACTCGAATATTTGTGTAGTTGTAAAGGCAATAATAAAAATGCCGCTACTACACATCCTCCAAGTTGGCTGATGCGTTTTATACTTGAAATTCATACAAGTTTCTTCCACATTTGTTCTGCAGCAGAATGCTTAGCGATCTTTTGAGGTACGTAAAGGGATTTAACCCTTTTAAAGAATTAAGAAATTTTAAAGAATAGGAGTGCGCATAACTTATCCGTAAGTAGTATACCTATATTATCAAAAATGTTCGCCATCTCTTTGGTAAGATTTCATAGATAAAACCGTAAACAGAAACGTAATTTCTAAATGGAGAGAGGTTAGCACAGTGGAAGTGATGCTGGCCATCATGAGCATGGTGCTGTTTAGACCCCGCACTGAGCCCGCAAAGCCTCTCATCCCTCCGTAGTGGTGAAATTGATAGCAGATTTGTCTGCGAAAAGTTCCCTCTGCAAGCCAGGTGGAAACGCTCTACGTTGGGTGTCTCAGAACCCCAGGGAGAATAGACTCGATCAGCACTCAGCAAACATTCATGACAAGAGCAAAGTCTCCAAGCACCAACCAAAGAAACACACAAAATCTACGAAAACCCTTGAAGATGATGGAGCTAAGGAACGAATCGCATGGAAGAAGTGCTGAAACCGGCAGAGCAGATATGAAAGAAGGGTCGTGTAAAATAAGGTAACAAGTTCCAAACAGAAAAGTGTTTTGAAATGTTAAAGCTAACATAATTTCCCTTACAACATTCCAGGTCAACTTCGTCAACTTTCCTAATTACTACTGTAGGAAAAACGACCCCACCTTGCCTACATTGACGAATTTTGTGACAAGTAGGGCCCGTTCCTTTGGCGTTGTTTTGCTCAGCACCATGATTTGAACCCAATTCGAAAGATTCTGAAGACTTTTGTGAAGTATAACAGCAACTATACTGTAAACCAAATAAATTTTACCACTGACAATTGTCATCATCATTGTAGTAAAGTCATATTCTAAAATGTGAAGAGAATTACAGAATTGTTGGAGTGCCTTCAACAGGTGCTCCACTATCACCTATCAAATTTAACATATTCAAGAAAATATTGGTTTCTTTCTAGAAATTACAAAAGAAACGGTGTTAAAGAAAAAAAAGAGGGACCATGATAAAAGGTGAGGAGAAGAAAGGTTAGCAAAGGTAACAAAACTCAGCTCTACAAAAACTACTATGCTAAGAAAAAGCAGAACTCAGTGAGTAATCAGTTTTTGCTTCTTTCAGAAAAACAAAACCGTGAGAAAAGGGAACTACCATGAACTAGAAAATGTTAGAAATAAAGACATTAAGGTGAAAAGAATCGCAGATCCCATTAGAAAAATGTTACCTACTTTTTAAGCAAGTAAAAACTACCGTATACAACGTACGTTAAATATGGATATTGATCTCTCCAGCATAGGTGTATTTGCTGGTGACCCGTCTTTAACATATTGCTTGAGTTCAATTATCTGAAAACAAAACCCTTGGATAAGTAATATTTTAAAAGATTTACTGTAGTCTTACCTAAAATAATTTTGAAGACAGCAATTTAAGAACGTCAAATAAGGAATTTCATCTGCACAACCAAAAAAGGATTACAAGGTAGAAACTCTAAGTTCTTGAGATTTGTGAGAGTAGCAGACGAGAACGAAGGAAAATTTATTACGAAACCCACAGAAATCCTACTAAGAGCCTTGTAGTCAATATGTGTCAGTGACGTCGATATGTCTTCAGGGCTCCATTGTTCGAATGACAGCGACATTTGTCGAGGCAATGGCTGTCGAACGGAAAGCGCTCGCATCCAAGCGTAGGATGGCCTGTAAGTGACAAAAATGTCTTTTTTGAAAGAACGCACAGTCATTTAATGCGGAGATCATTTTCAACAGGTTTTTATGTTAAGGCGAAGGTCACGCGTTATATAGCCGAATTATTTTTAAGGTTCACATCACTCAGTGCTCTTCCAATTGGCATCTCCTTCCCGCTTCTTGATATATTGCACCTTCCTTTAGTATGTAGCGGAATTCGGTAGGAAATAATGCAATACCATAGCCAAGTCGTTTAAATTCTTAGTTCAACGACAGCAAAACAGTATTAAAAGGAAACCTAGAATAGCAGTTCCATTGAAAGTTTTCAAATGCTTTAAAGAACAAAACCAAAAGCAACAGAGCAAAGAGTAAAGCGCGAAAATCGGTTTGTGGTAAATATATCCCATTCGGTCATTCACCAACAACCCACCAATGCTTCGTTAGTTTTCCTTCAAGAAAAAATGTCACACTACGTTTCAAGCCACAGTAAGGCAAACTCATTTCCTGTCTGAAAACATCTAAAATTTGGGTGAGGATAAAATAGGATAGGTAGAAGAAAAATAAGATACATTGATCATTCACATTGAGGCTAAACGAAAGTCGGTTTGCGAAGTAACACTAGGCATTGTTAACCCTTTTATTTACTGCTTTTTCTTTTTAATGGCAGGGTATGTTGCGAAATATAACTCGTATATAATGCTGAGATATTTGCAAAACTCCGGACCGCAGGTGTTGCGGTGGGGAACGAACGCGCGCTATTGTCCTTTCTGGGGAGTAACGCACTTCACCACCACACTTTCGTTTTGCCTGTCTCTCAGCTAGTCCTATTGATCTTGAAGAAAAAGGCAGTAAATAAAAGGGTTAAGATTGTGATTATAACTAAGCCTCAGCTTAACTGGGTTCAATGCCGATTTGGGCTCTCCAGATCAATCCCGTTGACGTGTGATTGCTGATGGAAAAAGATCAATAGAACTAGCTGAGAGAGAGGCAAAACGAAGGACCCGGATGGTGTGGTGGTGAAGTGCGCTACTCCCCGGAAAGGACAATAGCGCGCGTTCGTTCCCCACCGCATACACCTGCGGTCCGGAGTTTTGCAAATATCTCAGCATTATATACTAGGCATTGTGTTAGCTGATAACGATACCGACTTCTGCAGGATGGATTGTCCGAAAGAAACAACTTGTTAAGACCGGACAATCATATCAACAGCAACCGTCCTGTATAATAGGGCATCGCCAGTTGAGATTGCTCCGTTCAAGTGATGCTCCACTGAAGAAAATCCGACTCGATACGACAACGAAGACCCCACATCGATAGTACGAAGAACTGTGAACATCGACTCGGGTCATCGACTCTGAGGAACATGAATACATCAAAACGTTGGCTGAATAAAGTTTATTTTATCAACATTGCATTAACTCATCAATGAAAAAAATACATTCACGATAGAGTCTCCGCGCTAGCATTTTTCCGATTCCGCTCAATCATTTGCTGCAACGTCGTACAAACTAGCAAGTGGAGGCTTATATGTAAAAGCAATGGTAAGTGCTCGTTAACATCATCTACTCATAATTTTTCTTCGTTTCTAGGTTTAAATGACAAACACGAAAACAACAGTGAAGCTGAGAGAAAAAGGGTGGCAATGAGGAAACTGACTCTTTTTCAAATGACAACTTCAATCAATGAAGACTCTTTTAGAAGAAGGAAATCGTTTCTTTTTTTTCAAGCACCACTAAAGGCAATAGTGATAACCACTGCTGTATTTACTAACTGTCGTCACTAAAAAAAAGGATAAAGCTCTTGGTGTTGATCAATACCTGAGAGATGCACCATGCGTTCGACTTCATTTAGCACAGTTTGGAGTTGATTGAATTCATATTTGGCTTTACAATGACTCGCGGTAGCCTACCGATGTATCGAGCCAGTGCTGCCTATCCTCTCAGATAAGTCGAGTACCAATTTGCCAACTCTGGAGGGATGGAAGGCTTGGTGGGCTATGGGCGCGGGAGCCAACTCCACATTTGTGTTGCAAGGCGCCTCCGACCACTGCGCCACACGCACCCTTATCGTCACTAATGCTGTGTATCATAACATTCACTGATTTATGTCAAGTTTTCTAACAAAATACTGACTTTTTCACTGAGGAACTTTCACTGATAAGAGGAATACTGAAAAAACAACTAATATGATGTATATAATACTCTCCTTAAGTTTGGAGAGCTTTCTACGAATCTAACAAAATCGCCCTAATAAAACAAGAAAAATATGAATTCTCGTGTGGAAAGGACAAGACGACAAAGCAGCGTTGTTGGGTGAGCCTTTTTGTATTGTAGTAAATGCCATTAAGCAAGCAAATCGATCTTTTTTCATCTGCGTTCAAAAAAAAAGAAGTTGTGTGAACGGGCTAAACACTCCAGTGCAATACAGTTCCTGTTGAACAGGTACCGTAAGATAGCTTGGCTTATACACCATAGCAATCATCAACCAATGGAGTTATGTCCTTTATTTTTGCTACAGAGCAACAATCGAAATTTCCCAAGACCCTTCGGTCTCGTAGAAACATAAGTCACCCAAGGTCTTGTTCTTCTTGTGGGCGCGCTAACTAGTCGTAGCTTATGTTTGTGTAATGCCCAAGGCTCTTAGCGGAATACATCGAAAAAATAAAAACTACGAAACCAAAGAGGAATATGAAAAGTCAAGCACTCTTTACTCTCAATAGACTCTCAATGTTGTTCATAAAAGCAGGCTTTTCAACATACAACACTTCGTTTTGTTCAGTTCTAGATAGACATAGAGTACTGAGACTTACGTCGAGAATTTCATTTAGATCGTTTTGTTAAGCTCGAATGGAGCATTAACGCGGATTTATTATTCGATAGCTAGTGTTCTAGGAAAATTCAGTTACAATGTAGACCTCCTATACGCTTCATTTGAAGAATTTCTTCTGCTATATGCCTATATGTCTGCGATTCGGGTAGCTCACGACGTTTGAAAGCAACTTTTCCAAACTCCATTAGCCGTTCTTGTTGGCACAATTTGATTTGGAACATCGAGCTCATTAAATGGAGTAATGTTGAATGCATAACCACTGTTGCAGAAACCCTTACTGATTCATAAAAGATTTCGACCTCATCTTCTTTAATATGAGTCGCAGTGTTGGTCAAAAAATTACTCAAGACAATAGACAGTCTCTACAATTTCTTAACACTTTCGTGAAAGACTCGAGCTAACGGAGCCATAGGTCCATCCATATACCATTGAGAATCCTGTACGCGAACTTTTCATTGTTACAGCATTTTGCAACAGTAGTTCTCCTGTGGTGTGTTGCGATTGTTAAGGATCTGCGGTTAATAAGCTTGTAGTTGATTTTGATCGCAGATTTTCTAAGAAGGTCATAGGGATTACGTTTACAAATAGTCAGCTTGGTCGCCGGAAATGAACTCACTTCCATACTATGCATATCCTAGTGATATGAACTGTATCCAGTCTGACAGTCTCTAAAAAAACTGTAACGTACTCCTACACTTGGAATGAAGCACTATTTTGTTTGTTTCAGATACTCACCTGGTCTCATGTCTCCAGTCAGGCATGCTAAATCGATTCTCAACTAGTAGAACTCTTTATATAAAACGGACCTTTATATCACATATACAAACGCAGCTACAAGTGCTTTTGAAAGCGAAAAGAAAGGCATAAAGAGGAAAACAAACTAAACACTATGAAGACGTGAAAGTACAGATTTTCACAGCCATAGTAAGTTAGACAGTTCATCAACAGAATTTTCTCGTTTACTTAATAAAAGAGGTGTTGACAAGGTTCATTTAGTAGTAAATTAGTAAATATGAGAATCTTCAGGAATTCAAATGAGACATAGTACAGAAGTGGAGAAGCGTCCATCTTCACTAGTAACGGCACTTGTCAATCACGCGACACAACTACCTTTTTATTTCTATTCTTCAGCACAAATTCGTGCCATTCCATGTTCTCAGGTCTTTTTCAGGAAAAAGGGCTCACAATCGACGTTGATATCATCCACAATTCAAATGCGTCCAGATGACTTATGTGCTTTCAGCAAGGATTCAGCAATCCAGAGAAAAATTACTACTAAGATTTGAAACAACGTTTGACAATACATTGAGCAACCTTGTTAGATACTAGTGGGGTACTACTTCCCAAGAATTCTCAAGCCTTTACTTGTAACCAGCTGACAGTGTATTATCGCTTATGGAAAACTGACTGCAAAAAAAAGCCTGGCGAATTGGTTAGTGCACCTTCTAAGGAACACCAATAACAAGACGCGTGCCTTATTTGTAATTGCAACTTCCTTCCGTTCTACACTCAGAGAGGAAGCTTTTTGACGAAAAACTCGTGAATGAAGAAAGAAAAGTGAGAGGTCATGCATAGGAATCCTTCGTGTAGGCGCTAATTGTACTGCACTTTTGAGAATCCTCGGAGAATTGACACGAAAAAAAGGCTCCATTGAGCCGCTGATGGAATTTTGAAGAGTTAAGAGCACCATGCATTTAATGTTACAGTGACCATAGAAGACTACTATGATCAAATTCGAAAGCTAGCCGATGTCGCAGAATGAAAACAAATGGAATGTGAGAAATATCGTCTCCTACACGCTTACGCCCGGCCTGCACATTGAGGAAATAATCGCCATACACTGAATACCTTCAAATAGAAAGTTTTTTGACACCTTGTGCTGCCCAACAGTACCTTTTACTTTTTTTACATCACCCGTCAACACATCTATTGTGCGGACCCTAGTACCTCATACACTCAATTCGTTTTCCACCCATTCATTTCCAAAATGATCTTCGAACGTAGTAATTCCCATGACCGACTTTCTGTTAACCTCGGCATTAATTGATAATTCAATGTTTTTCATCAATAAGCAGACACGAGGTTGTTAATATAGAATTTATTAGAACACAATTGCTGACGTTTCGGCGGTTTCGCCTTCTTCAGAGCCTGGAAAGGTCAAATTGAGATGCGATCTACTCAGCCAAACACTTTCATAACCCTAGCAGATAAAACTTGATAAATCGAT